AAGCAACAACCATCAACCTTCTCTTTCAAAGACCTTTGATCCTTTCCTGATGATTGTAATCACTTGATAGCTTGAATAAGCGATGCTTGAGTTTGAAACCCTTGGAAATCTTCTCTTGAATGACACACCTCCCTTGATCCCCTGAAAAGGAGAATGTTATGCAAATGCAAATGCTAAAGAATGAAATGAAACATAAGCCAAGTAAAGAAAGAGGTTGGTCAAATTTTGGGGTACACCATAGTGTTATTATATTATTTAAATTGTTCTTGTGTTAAAAAAAATTTTTGCTTACGGGTGTACGAATCGATCTAGATAATTTAGGATTTCTAACTGTTAGTCTAATCATTTGAACTAGACAAATTATTCAACTTTGTAATGAACTAGGAATAGGAATTTAGAAGTTGTTGCTAATGATTTAACGTGCTTATAATTCCTAATTTAATCTTGAATTAGCATAAGTAATTAGGGAATTATCATATAAATTAGTGAGTCGTTCATCAACTAGTACGTAGTTCATCAACAAGTGAAGATAAGGAGATTCAATAATAAAGTCCTAATTGCCTTCACAATCTTGAATTTAATCATTTTAATTTCTCGTTTTAGAACCAATTTTTCAACAAAAACCTCTATTTTTATTACTTACAGTCGCACATGATTTTCTTGTTAAATTTTTAATCCTCTGGGAGATGACATTTTTATTGTTACTTCAAAATTATCGGTACACTTGTCTAGTAGTTTAGATGGAAGTCTCGAGCTAAGATGATTGAGCCACATAAGTCTCTTGCTGTGTGCTTGAGCTGTGAAATTCTTAATCAACTAGGTTGATTGAGCAAAAGTCTTGTATCATTTGGATACAAGCAAGGAAGTATCGAGCCAAGATGCTTGAGCCACATAAGTTTCTTGCTATGTTCTTGAGCTGTGAAAGTCTTATTCAAGTGGATTGATTGAGTAGAAGTATAGAGCCATTGTGGCTTAAGCAGGTTGGCTTGGTACATGAAAGTAGAGCGGTAAGTCTTGAACTTGGGGGGTTCAAGCAAGGAGGCTCATTTCATGGGACCTGGAGCAGAAGTTTCAGCCAGCGTGGCTTGAGCAGGCGAGCTCAGTACATGGATACGGAGAAGTAAGTCTTGAACCTAAGGGATTCAAGCAATGAGGCTCGTTTAATGGGACTTGGAGAAGAAGTCTTGGGTCTGAGGGACTTGAGTAGAAGTCTTGGGCTGAGGGCCTAAGCAAGAAATTCTTGGGTTCGTGGAACCTAAGCAAGAAGTCTCGAGTCTAACTTGAGCAAGAAGTCTTGGACCTTGGGTCTGAGCAATTGTAAAAGTCTTATGTAGAATGCATAAGCGATTGTAATCATGATTTGATTATAGTAAAAATCTCTCGTGAAGCAAGGGGACTGGACTACTCTCAGTTTGGGAGGAACTAGTATAAATCTTTGTATCTTCTGCTATTATTTATTTTCTTTTGTTAACGTTCCGCTGCTAAAAATTAAACAAAATATGAACACCAATTTAGATTCAGAACTCTGATAAGATGCAAACTAAGATAATGAAAAACACAATTCAACCCCCCTTCTTGTGTACTTTTCTCACCTTCAGATTTCACCTTCTCAATAAGGACTTAATCCAATAATCAGTCTAATTACGACAAACTCAAAGACACATAATCTTAGACTTCTTAAGAAATTATGACTATAACCTAGTCTTTCAAGGAAAGAAACTCAAGGACTAATTGTCAATGACTTCTTGAGAATTATGACTACTTTTAGTTTCTCAAGGAAATTAACCAAGAGTTAAGATAACCAAGTTTTGTGTTTACAAAATGCTTTAACAAGAAGATGCACAAGTTTAAATAAAATGCTACACTTTACAAAAATACTTTAAGAAAATGTTTTAAGTGCAAGTGTGTGAGACATTTCTTTATTTTCCTCTTTTCATGTATCCTTTTGAGTATATGCCTTTTATATCAGTTAAGCATTCTTCTTTACCAAACCTTCAAATACCTTTTTATATAGGAAGAAATAGATCCATTGGAGAGTGAAGTTAGAATATCCTCAATGTAATCATTTTTTGAAGGTCACTTCATATTGCAACAATATAGTGACGCTTGCAGCAGATAGTTGGTGAGGATGATGGGATGTAAAAAACTTTTTTAGTATAAAGTACAATATTTTATATGAAAACTAGATTTTTCTTTTGTACTTCTGTCACATCAAACATTCGTTGACCTTTGGTTTTAAATCTTCTAATAAAAGGCTTCTTATATATGTTGATGAAGCTTTAGTAGAGATCAGAGTCTGTCTTCAAAACTTGGTGAGACTTTTAGAGTCTTTGGAGAACTGGGTTCTGATACTTTCAAAAGCTCATAGTCTAACTTTTATCAAAGTTTATTTAGATGGTTTTTGTTCAGAAACATTGACTTTGACAAATCAAAGTTGACTTCTTTGTAAATACGCTTTTAGTATATCATTTGGTTCAGAGTCTGGATGTCTTTAGAGTCATAATCTAATTTTTTTTTGCTGCACACTCAGTAAAATAGTTAGAGTACACAATTGTTCTTTATACTTTGCTATCATCAAAACTCAAGGATAGTTGTAGAACTAAACTTGTTCCAACAATATCCTCTACAAACTTTAACTTACTTCCAAGCACAATTGATTGTAACAAAACATTATTTTCTTCCCATCAAATGCTTTAAACATCTAGAGTCTAGATACCATTGATCACCACACTCTATAGCCTATTTTATAGTTACCATGGCATTTTCTTCTAGTGGTAACTCGTTACAGCATATAGGTAATCAACTACATCTTTCTGTGGCAGCCTGTTATAACATTTTAAAGTTGTCTTGCAACTTGCTACTACTGTTTTCTCCTTTAGTAATCATCATCAACAATGTATTCTCACCATCATGCTCTTGTCTTGCAACTCTAACTTCATCTTCTTGAGGTTTTTTCTTATTGGCACTGCACTCACTTGTAAAGTTTTCAAACTTTTGACAACGAAGGCACTGCACATTGCTTTTGTTCCCTCTCTTCCTTCCTCATCCACCACTAATATTTCCACCTTTAGAGTTATATGACCCATCAACTCTATTCCCATTATTTTCACCCTTTTGAAATGTTGAATTTTTGAAGTTTTAGGATTCACTTCCATCAAAATTCTGAAAGTTTCCTCTACCTTTGTTCATGGGCCACTTTCCTTTCGTATTCATGTCTCTTTCATTGAAACGAGCTTGCAAAGCAATCTCCACTTTTACCTTATCAATATTCCTTTCCTCCATTATCTTCTCATGAGCTCCAAAAGAGCTCTACAACTCCTCATTTCTCATTGTTATAAAATCTTTTGATTCCTCAATCATAACTACTACATCGTCAAATCTTAACATCAAAGAACGTAAACTTTTTGCAACCACATACTATTCTGTGATTATTTTTCCACACACCTTTACTTGGTTCTCCAATCTTGCGATTCTCATCGTGAATTCGCTAATTGTTTCCTTTTCTTCCATCTGAATAAACTCCAGCTGCCTCTTGTGAGTTTGTAACCTCGCCATCTTTGACTTATTAGCTCCTGCATAACTTTTCACCAAGATTTCCCAATTTTCCTTTGAGGTTGTACAATTACTAACCTTATCAAAATTGTCTGCATCAACACATTGATGAATCAAATACAACGCCTTGTGGTCATTTTTCTTCTCTTCCTTATGCGAAGTCCTTTGTGAAAACGTTGCACCTTCTACAAGTGAAGTAACACCGTTATTGATCACTTCAAGAACATCTTGATAACTAAACATCATTTTCATCTGTTTGTACCACTTATCGTAAATCTTCGCATCAAGAATAAGGAGATTTGCAGGAATGCGTTCATTGAAGATGAAAAATATTTTCTCACACTAAATGTTCGATAAAAGAACCAGACTCTTAATGCCAAATGTTGAAATAAGTAACCACAATAATGATGATTTTCAATGTTTTTCAATGTGGAGATAAAGAGAGAGAAGAGTAATTATTGAGGTGAAAAATAGTGAACTTTTATTATTATTGATATATTCAATCGGTGTGTATATATATATATATATATATATATATATATATATATATATATATATATATATATATATATATATATATATATATATATATATATATATATATATATATATATATATATATATATATATATATATATATATATATATATATATATATATATATATATATATATATATATATATATATATATATATATATATATATATATATATATATATATATATATATATATATATATATATATATATATATATATATATATATATATATATATATATAATATTAGGTTTAGTGAGATACAAGAAACAAACTACAAACCAAAAAACTTACTATTATAACCGGTTAAAAAAATATTTTGTTTCTTTTCGAAAAGAGAATGTATTCGGTTACTACTAATAGTAACCAGGTCAAGACACATAAATTACACTCCTAATGATAAAAAAATCTTTTTGATAGATAATCTATAAATACTTCTATAATCTTTATTGAGTCTTGACGTCGACCATGACCTTGATAATTCTATAGAGTCCAACTCACATAATTTTGTGCATAAAAAAAGGACAACCATTATATTACATGTATAAGCATTCTTTGAGCCTTAGACCTGCCAGCGGAGTCCACCTAAAACTTTTTATATAAAAAAATGGCAACCATTATATTGCACTTGAAAAGTAAATTTACTTTAATAATAATGGAAGAAAAGTTGTGAGCTTTAAATCCTATCGTAAAGTAAGATCATTCAACAAGACAATCTTTTATACAAATTGGAAGAGATATGGTTTGAAATAACGATTTACAGAAATTGACCGAACCAGATAAAGATTGGTTTAGACTTCAGACCGGGCGGTTCAATGTTTAAATCTCTGGTCTTTTTCCATCCGTTTCTTCTTCTCTATATAAGCGGTTTTTTAGAACGAAAGTTAGTTACTGTATATAACCTGCAAACATGTCGGAGAGTGGCAGCGGAAGCGGCGGCGCCACCGCGGAAATTGTGAGAGAAGAACCGTCATCGTCGTGGAGACTGAATGTGAAAGAGTTTAAGTTGCCACGTCACCACCACAATCCTCGTCACCATGATCATCATGATCATGATCACCGTCCACGTTCCTTCACTTTCAGTGGCCTTGTTGGTAATCCAAGTAAGAAAGTCTCTTGTCATAACCATTGCATTACTCTCTGTTTCCAATATGGTTTTGTTTTCTTGAATTAACTATTGTTTTAGTGTGTGCTTTTCTCAAGGTTCTGAGTTAGAGTTCTACAAGACTAACAATTTTTGTGTACAGAGCGGACGCTAAAGCTATGGCTTTAAACCAGTCCCGTTAGTGGTCTGTGAGATTGATTCTCTTGGATTAGTAGGTCGCAAGGTCCACACCAAGATATCAAAAAGGAAAACTATTGTTTGGGACTTTTTTTCCATTTTTAATTGGATTTTACTAATTTTACTTTTTATTTTGTAAAAGATGTTGGATTCTAAAGAGATACGTGTGAGTAACTGAATATACCATCGTTTTCTTTTCAATTTGAGTGTGTTAAAACTATCATTTTGGGAATCATGTATGTAAGTAAAGAAAGATTCTTATTTCTGAATGTTCTAATATCGTTTTGTTATTATATGTTATATAGAACAAGAATCGCATGCGATGCTCAAAGCTTAGAAAATTATTCGAGTTTAATTAATTCTTGGATTATGAGAATTAGTGATTTTTCTTCTAATTAAGTATATCACAAGTTTTCAGATAATCCTTGGATCTACCTTCTTTGAAATGTGTGTTACTGTTATTTGAGATTGTTATTCAACTTTTTATGTTTACTATATGCTTTACTTTTATTCAATCTTGTGTTTAAGATGTGGTTTAGTTTCAGAGTATTTTTGGTTGTTTTTTATTTCAGAAAGGCAACGCAAGGTTGCAGAATACTACAAACAACAGGAGAGGCTCCTTGAAGGATACAATGACATGGATACCATGACTGAAACAGGACTTTTCCCTGGAAGTCTTACCGAGGTACATTATTATATTATAACAATCATTATAGTGGCCGATGCGGAAGCAGTTGCAGATGTGAACTTGATAATCTCAAACATGTGTTAATGAATAATTTATCTAAGAATTCCATATGCTAATATTGAAAATTGTTAATTCTCTTATTTTTGTGATGACTAAAATCACTGATATATGTGATTCTCAGGATGAAATGAAGCAACTAGCAAAAAGTGAAAGACTAGCCGTTAATGTGTCGAATGCAGTTAACTTGGTCTTATTTGCAGCCAAAGTGTATGCTTCAATTGAGAGCAGATCATTAGCAGTGATTGCTTCCACTTTGGATTCTCTCTTAGATCTCTTGTCAGGATTCATACTGTGGTTCACTGCTAATGCCATGAAAACACCAAACCATTATCACTATCCAATTGGAAAAAAAAGGATGCAACCAGTGGTATGTCTTTAACTTTAAACCTTTAAGAGTTTAAATTTGCAAATGTTGTGTGACAATATATCTTATTGTCATGAGATTGAAATGGATGCAACCAGTTGCTGCAACGCAACACATCTCCCGAAATTAAAAATCATGATGCACATATTGACTTCAGATTCCTTATACAGGGTATCATTGTTTTTGCATCCGTAATGGCAACCTTGGGATTGCAGATTTTGATTGAGTCTGGCAGGCAAATTATTTCCAAGGTAGTTGAGATTAGTGCCTGTTTCACAATGAATGAGTAATCAAAGCCTTTTTTTTTGTGAACTTTACTAGTAAACCTGTTTTTCAATTTTTTGTTTGATTCTCTCAGACAAAGGCTGAAATGGATCATAGTGAGTTGATGTGGATGATTGTGATCATGGTATCTGTGACCATTGTAAAGTTCATTTTAATGGTGTACTGTCGAAGGTTTACAAATGAAATCGTTAAAGCCTACGCACAAGATCATTGTTTTGATGTTATTACTAATTCAGTTGGATTAGCTGCTGCTGTGTTTGCTGTCAAGTTCTATTGGTGGATTGATCCATTGGGAGCTATTATTGTGAGTTCATTTCTACCACTAATTGTATTGTAATTTTACAGATAGTAATCTTTATTTAGTTTGCATATTTCGTCTCACTATTGTTACATATTTTCAAGGACAGTTTGTGACTACTAGTTAACCTCATGATAATCTATTGGTTATGATATTGTGATAATATGTAATGTAGATAGCACTGTACACAATTAATACATGGGTGAAGACAGTGATTGAGAATGTATCATCACTTATTGGAAGGACAGCACCACCTGATTTTCTAGCGAAGTTGACATACCTAATATGGAATCATCATGTACAAGTTAAACACATAGATACTGTGAGAGCATACACTTTTGGTGCTCATTATTTTGTTGAAGTAGATATTGTGTTGCCAGAAGACATGCCATTAAATCAAGCACACAATATTGGTGAGACACTTCAAGAGAAGCTTGAGCAACTTCCTGAAGTTGAAAGAGCTTTTGTGCACATTGATTTTGAATTTACTCACAGGCCTGAACACAAGATGATGGTGTAATGGTTTGAATGAAAAAGTACAAGTTGATTATCTTTCTTTTTCCTTTTTGTAAATTATTCTACATATAAGACAATATTGTTAATTTCTTATGTTTCTTGTTGCTGATACCCTGCATTAGATTGTATTGTCATTGTCACACCTAAAAACTAAATTGTTACTAAGCTATTAGCATAATGTATAGTGTATATTTATGAGAATGTAAAAAGATTGATTATATTTTCTATAAGCATGCATGATTAAGAAATGGATCCTTCTTTAAGATGACATGGTACATCTTGATACAAAACCATATGGTAATGATTAATTAGTATATCATCTGGGTGTTATTTGATTATAAACAAAAATACTTACTTTCATATTTACTATAACTTCTATAAATTTT